AAATATACCCGTGCTACTTATGACTGGTTTTGTGGTCCAGGGTCACATATTAGTCATAAATGAACAGCTAATATCAGCAACACAGAATTCAGTGTCAAAAACTCAAAGCAACTGGTCAATGTTAAGACGGCTTGCCACAAGCCTTCTGCCTGTTAATGGGGCAAAGACTCCTCAAACACAACACACAAGCCAGTTTGCTTTCCAAATGTGCTCGCAGTTTTACCCCAAAATGGAGTACTAAATCATATCGCTCACTCCATGCCATAATCTGCCAACTGAAACGTTGTTTCTGGAAAATCAGCCCGAGAAAATGAAGCTGGAACTACCGCCGCACCATTGGACAAGTCACAGACCTCCAAGCCAAATCATTCAATATTTAACGTCCCTAGTGTCGCATTATACATTTAGGATGTTGGCACTTGCAGAACCCTGCGTGAATTTCAAACAGTGCTTGAACAATCAGCATGATTCAGAGCGGAATAATGCTGTGGGTCATGACGCAGGCTTATACGCACCATTCTGCAGTCCGCTACGGCACGCAGAGCCTCGCTGCTCTCCCGGCGCTCCGGCTCTCTGGACGGGGGCTTACTGCCGATCTGGAAAATGGTCCCGGCAGTTCTGGGGCGGTTTTTGCGCCCATTCGGTGCAGAACTCATGCATACACATCAAGTGAAGAAACTGCCCTGATATAAAATACTGACTGATCAATATGGTGCCACTCGTTTGGTAAATTTCTTACTCAATTGATCGATCTGCCCGTGTCTTGCTCCTGGATTCTCTCCGCATTGCCACGATGCAGATTGCAGAAGCCGAGTCACCTTCAGTCACTCCAGCAGAGAGCTGAAGTGTCCTTGCAGGGCTTCGTCTTCTTCAGCAGAGAGAAATGCGATAACAAAGAACCAGATGCAAACATGTCTTGATGCCCCGTATAGTCCTTCAACGAAGAAAATAACAGCCGCTTTTAAACGAAACACCTCCCCGCGACAGTAACCGCAACTCGAAATAGACTAATATGCGCCGCAAGTTGAAACGATAAACTCTATATGGCGTTTTTTGAGAGTAGGTAGCAGAAGGTGATCTAAGAGCGCTTTTCTAACCTTGATAGGTGCAGTTGCTCGAGGCATGACGTGGTTGAACACACTGCACTCTCATAGGATGAGAATACTAATGCAACAGATTCACCAACTCCAGTGTGTTCACGGCTTCATCAAGTGTGCCACTGAAAGGAAGCAATAAAAATACACGAGTGAAATCATAGGCAGCTCAAATCTATCTACCCTGCAGGAAAAAAAGCACTATAAGTCAAGTTAAAGCGCCTTTCTGGTCTTAGCTGGTCTTCTACTCTGGTCAAGCTGGTGTTTGGTGTGTGAAAAGTGTCCAAAAAACACTTAAACCAAACAGACAGACATATTGGATCAGGCTGGAAGACAAATCATCTTAGACTGGTTTCAAAGTTTTTCAGCAGGTGTCTAAATAAATAAAATAACACATATAACAAATAGATAATGAATGTGTGTGTGTGTGTGTGGTCAATAAAACATTTCCCATGTAAGCCATTTCAAATGAATCTTATTAAATATTCATAAAAGTAAAGTATCTTATGGCTGGTTATTAGGAAATGTTGTATTTGTGGTTGACTCATACTGTTTATTGTACCAAATCCTAATTGTACAAAAAGCAAGTGGCAAAATTAGACTTAATATTGGATGAGTTGCTAATGGCAACCTGTTTTGTTGTACTCTGCCAAATCACTAGAAACCACTGCATTTGAGATACTGTGTGTGTGTGTGTGTGTGCATGCATGAGATGAATAGAATTGATGTGGAGTGTCTTGACAACACATTTAGAACATGTTGTAGAACAAGACAGCTTGTGTTAACAACATGGACTGGACAAGTTTCCAAAGGATGATACTTCATGCTTTCAACATGAAATATTTATTCAAGTGCAGGCAAAGATTTCCACTGCTAAAAGATTTTTATTGCTGCTTCATGTTTTTTTTTAAAGAAAAAAAAAAAGTTAAATTAATACTTGAGTATAAAATATATATATTGAATATAAAATAATAATAACATCACTCATTTTCATCATCAGAAACAATCTTTGACCAAGAGACAGTAGCAATTAACAGTAAATGGAGGCCCTTAATATCTTCAATCAAATTTTATGGAACTTTATGGAACAAATAACAAATTGTTCCCTCATCATGTGCAGCGAGAGAGAGAGAGAATATATATATATATATATATATATATATATATGTGTGTGTGTGTGT